CCACCAAGGCAGGCCAGGGTTGGTGTCTGTGCAGGGGCAGGCAATGGTCAATCACCTTTGAGAGCCAGAAAACAGGATTGTGTTTGTACCCTTCTTTTCTCCCTAGCGGGGACCTGAACTACCTTAAATCATTCTCCTCTCCTCCATTTTTATCCTCCACTGGGGTGCCGAAGGGTCTGAGGCCGACACTCTGGAATCACTATCTGAAGAAGGGAGCGTTGACTCTCAGGAGCTGACACCCCAGAAATCTTGTTGGTCTTGTTGCTGTGCAGGGGCATGCAATGGCCAATCACCTTTGAGAGCCAGAAAACAGGGTTGCGTTTGTACCCTTCTTTTCTCCCTAGCGGGGACCTGAACTACCTTAAATCATTCTCCTCTCCTCCATTATCCTCCTCCACTGGGGTGCCCCAGGGTCTGAGGTCCACACTCTGGAAGGGAGCTTTGACTTTCAGAAGCTGACACCCCAGAAATCTTGTTGGTCTTTAACATGCTACTGGATTCGAATCTTGCTCTTCGACACAGCTGCTCTTCGAAACCACGCTCCCAGCATTCGGACACCTGGTGTACGAATGGTCTTGCACGCTCTTTGAGCAAGGAAGAATAACAATTAAGGAGAGGAGAGCCCTGACCAGGAGAGCCCAGGCAAGCCCAATCTCGTCAGACCTCAGAAGCTAAGCAAGTACTTGGATGGGAGACCTCCTCGGAATGCCAGGGCCGGGAGGCAGAGGTAGGCTATCAAGTTACTTCTCTTTATGTCCTCCATGCCCCAGTTGGCATTGCCAGGGGTCGCCGTGTCTTCCAGGCACGGGCACACACAAATGCAAAAATACCAACAACAAAAAAAGATGGAGGAGTTGGTTTGTATACCCCGCTTTTCTCTTACCTTAAGGAGTCTCAAAGCGGCTTCAGCTTCTTTGTGAAAGGTCCGGAGACCTGCTAGCCCCCTTAAGCTTGTGATGCAGACAATATAGGGCCTGGCCTACCGCAGGGGGCAGCATGTTGACTCTCAGTACAGTGCCCTGCAAGAGGGAGGTGCAGATTGGTACTCTGTTGCCCATTCCATTTGATGGAACAGGGAGGCCAGGGTGGATTCCTATGCACTTGGAAGAGCTTTCCTCTCAAATGGGATGACTCATCTCATGTGGGAGGGCCACACTAGTGTTCTAACCATGGAAAGTATGCAATAAGAGAATCACAGCTTCAAAGCTCCAAATACAAAAGAAAAAAACAAGCTGTATGCAGGTGCTCTACAGAATCAATGCTCAAAACACATGGAAATTTTTTTTATAATGCTGATGTCAAACCATGTATAAATGACGATGGTACGAAGAAGGAAAGGAGGTCCAAAAAGGGGCAGGTTGACGAAGTTTTCCGGAATACAAATTCATTTCGACTGGCTTCATCTGAACAGGGCCTCAGGAAACAGATGTCTTCTAAGTTTCGTTCATCATAACGTACGATAGCGAAGATCATATCACTTCATAAAACTCTCGTCATGCTTTAGTGCTGCATTCTGCAGTTGCAGTGAAATATTCCAAAGAGATATTCACAAGTGGGCAGAAGAAGGTCCTTGCATACAGCTTGTTTTTTCTAACCATGGAAAGATCTACCAAATGAGAAGGGAGCACTCACTGGAGAAGACCCTGATGCTGGGAAAGACTGAAGGTCAAAGAAGACGGGGACGGCAAAGGATGAGATGGTTAGACAGTGTCATAGATGCAACGAACATGAAATTGAGCAAACTTCAGAGGACGGTGGAAGACAGGAAGGCCTGGCGGGATCTGGTCCATGGGGTCGCGAAGAGTCAGACTCGACTGTGCGACTGAACAACAAAAAAAGATCTACATGTATTCTTCAGCCCTTTTTCCTCTACACAGCCTCAGCTCTCTAAATCCCCCCCTCCAAGTCATATACAGGTTTTGCACCTCTGTCTGAACTTCCCTTTCTTTGTACATGTACTTGCTGTCTGTCTCACCATGGTTTTACCCCTGTTCTCCTGTCTTTCAGGGGTTTTTCCCCTTTTGACCTCTCTCAGCCCCACCTGCCTCACAAGGTGTCTGTTGTGGGTAGAGGAAGGGAAGGCGATTGTAAGCCGCTTTGAAACTCAGCTTCCCCTGTGCTGCTTATCTAAGATCAGGGGTGTCGAATTCGTTTAAGAGGGCTGAATCGGACATAAATGGGACTTTGGGGGGCTGGGCCATGTGTGTCATAAAAGGTAATGCCAGGTACTGGAGATATGGACTTTATAAAGGACGCAAACACATTTAAAGACATTACTTTCACTTAAAAGGCAAACATGCTTAAAAATTAACACTTGCATTATTTTTTATTGAACAGTCTTTGATAACTGACACTTCTTGCTCTGAATTATTGCATCAGAACCTGGAGACAGTGTCTGGGCTGTAGGAATCCGGAGTACGCTGTTCAGGTGTGTGTGTATCTGTAAGCTGCGAGTGTACTTTTGATTTACTGACATTCATTACAGAAAAGAGCTGTTCACAGACATCTGTTGTCCCGAAAATAGAATTTTGGAAGCAAAAGACTTAAGTTAGGGGTAATCGGGACCAAAAAAACTGGTAAAATTTGCTAAGCGAGCTTCAGAAGGCTTATATTTCAGTACATCATCACACAGCAGATCAACTATTTCCATTCTGGCCCTGACCTGGATAGCGCAGGGAAGCCCAGCCTCGGAAGCTATGCAGGGACGACCCTGGCAAGGACTTGGAACCTCCATGGGACCTCCAGGGAACACCAGGGCCAAGACGCAGAGGCAGGCAACAGCAAGGCACCACTCTGAACGTCCAAGCCCCACTAGGGGTTGCCAGAAGTCAACCATGACTTCCAGGCACACATACACACACACACACAAAATACATAAATTATTTCCATCTGGAGCTCCTCTGGAACCTCAGAAACTTCCACACAAAATGGGATTATGGAAAATTCCAAAATCTCTATTCTGTTCCTAGGGACCATCATTCCACTTTGGGGGCTGCCATTCCACTCTGTGCCTTCATTCCAGTCCCAGAGCAAAGGTTTCTTTTCCAAGGGACCATCACTCCCGTCCCAGAACACTTCTGCTACTCCCAGGGGCTGTCATTCCACTCTGGGGACCATCACTCCCGTCCCAGAACACCTCTGCTACTCCCAGGGGCTGTCATTCCAGTCCCAGCTTCTGCTATTCCCAGGGGCTGTCATTTCTACTCTACACCCTGTCATACCAGTCCCAGAACACTTTTGATACTCCCAGGGGCTGTCATTCTAGTCCCAGAACATTTCTGCTGCTCCCAGGGGCTGTCATCCCACTCTGCAACTTGTCATTCCAGTCCCAGAACACAGATTCTGTTATTCCACTGGGGGGGGCATCATTCAAGTCCACGATCGCTTATCTACTCCTC